TAATACTTCATAATCGGACCAAAAGGAAAGCTCCGGTAAACATTTTGTTTATCATAAGTGTCATAAAGAACAAGGAATATGTTTTTATAATGAGCAATTTTTTAGACCATGGAAAAAAATTTTATATATGTAGCTTCTAATAGCTAGATTTATGCTACACTTTCAAGAGAAATTAATAAAAAAAATATAAGAAATTCTACTCCAGATCAGCTTGTAACTTATATGCTACCCGAAAAACTTATATGCTACCCGAAAAACTTATATGCTACCCGAAAAACTTATATGCTACCCGCAACTTATATGCTACCCGCAACTTATATGCTACCCGCAACTTATATGCTACCCGCATAATATTTCAAATGCACTTTTTACAAACTTTGCTTTTGTTCATGAAAAAACAGTTTTTAAAAAACTTAGGTGTTTATGGAAATCAGCTGTTTATTTTTGTATTGGACGAGGATACTTTTTTTTACTTCTCAATATATATATAAGCTCTGCAATTTAAATTTACTAAATAGCAATTTATTTAAAATAAAATCTTATTGAAACTTAAATGCATTTCTCAATTCTAATATATAACATAATTTTTCTCCCCTTTTTCTTTGCAAATTGTTAAATCACTTTATCTAAACCATGTTGACAAAATACTGTTTTTTCAATTGATATATAGGTCAAAGAACAAAGGCGATGTTGTGACATGCTTCTTAAACATGTTTTGATTAATTTTAGTTTTTAAAAACGTTGATCTGCTGTAGCTGTCGTCATCAATAAAGTTAAAAAAATGAGGCATGCTGCAGTAAGTCAGATAAACTACTTGAGTCTGTGGTGTGAATTGAAAGTAGTTAAGCACTTAGGCGCATAGAAACATTTTCTTTTAGCTGATCATTGTAAGAAACTTTAAATCAAAGCAGCTGAAATCCAAAACGAGGTAAATTGTTGGAGGGTTGGTAGGTTATAAGCTTTTAAAAAGTGTACATAATTGTCCAACGAATATAAATCTATTAGTTGATTGATTAATAATTACGCCCATTACTTTAATATACACCCCAATGAGGACAAGATTTCAATATTGATAAATAATGAAATTCATTGACTAGTGATTCTTTGACTATCAATTTTAAATCAAAAGAGGTTTAATACCAAAGATTGTCATTAAGCATAAGATAAGAATTATTTAATAACCAATGCAGAACATTTACACGATCCAGCATTTTAAAAACCTTAATCATTTAATTTGGTACTTTATAAAATTTGATTCATGTGTACATTATATAAAAAATGTAGGCGCGATTAGTTATAGCGACAAGATCTGACGATTTTCTAAAGGTTTTTGCTTTCTTAATAAATTTTTAACAAAATATTTATTTATTGTTTTATAAGGTTTAAAATGTATAGGCATAAATGTCTTTTAACCTGTTATACAAATATATAATGTTTATGGTATGTTTTCGTATATTTAGTTATAAATGATATAATTTATGATTAAATATACGAATTAAATACACGAATTAATTATTACTTTTTTATTTAAGAAACTTTCTAGTTTGATTTAAAAATTATTCACGGCTGATGTATTTACAACGTCAGCTGGGAAATTTTTTTTTTTTTTTTTTTTTTTTTTTTAGAATTGTATTTGCCGATTGAAAATAATTTACACTCGTAATTTATAAAAACAAATATTTACATGACTGGGGCTTGAAGAAGACAAAATTCATCTTATCATTAAGCCCCCCCAAAAAATGCATATTCATCAAATAAAATATTTTAACAAAATGTAAAAAATAAAATATATAACGTTTAAAATATTTAGTAATTCAAAGAGTATTTATATTTAAGAACTGATTAGTAAAATAAGATGATATATAAGTATTAATATTACAAAAAGAATTTACAATAACTTTTTTTAATAAAAATTGAAATTATAAAATTTTACAATATTTTTAGTAATTAGTATTTCAAATAATAAAACTTAAAAAATCGTTTGTAAATTCAAAACTTATAAGATAAGAAATACATTTACAATAGCAGACTATTGTTTAGAATATTAAGTATAATATTAAAGAGTAATTAGTAGGTTAATTTTTGTTTTTGTTTGCTAGTTTAAAAAGCTTTTTAGAAGAACTTTAATTCATTTTCATGTATCATCAGTAATTGCTTAAGTTTTGTTTTAAACTGGTTTAAAGAATAATTAGATTTCAGCTCATTATTTAATATTGTATTCCACAGCTTAGGACCTCGATTTGCAATTGAGAATTTGGTTGCTGAATAATGTGTTTTGGATTGAATGTAATTGTTTTTTGAAAATCTGGTAGGGTATATGTGGTTTATTTTTTCAAAAAGTAAATTAAATAACATTGGTGATATTTTTTTATCAAGTTTAAACATGAAGATAAGAATATGGTAAAGGTTTAGTTTATATACATTTAGAATATTAAGTTTATTAAATAATGTTTTAGTGTGAGAGAAACGGTCTACGTTTGTAATTATCCTTATAGCCTGTTTTTGTTTACTAAACAGTTTTTTTACTTTTGTTGCGTTTGTGCTGCACCAAGCAACGTTTGCATAATTTAAGTAGCAATGAATTAAAGAAAAATATAAGTTTTTTAAACAAGATAGATTTAAAAACTGCTTGGCTTTATACAAAACACCTATATTTTTTGATATTTTATTTTCAATTAGACCTATGTGGTCCCTCCAGGTTAAATTTTCATCCAGAACCACACCTAAAAACTTTATTGATTGCTCTCTTTTTAATAATGCGTTATCAATAAAAAGATCAGGAAGTTTTAATGGAATATCTTGTTTTTTATGAAGACGATGGAACAAAGTGTATTTTGATTTATTGATGTTCAAAGATAGTTTGTTTGATTTGAACCATTGGGTTAATTTTTCAAGTTCTTTGTTTACTGTTTGAAATAATTTACTGATATCTTTACTAGAATAAAACAAGTTTGTATCATCTGCAAACAAAATTAAGTTTAAAATGTTAGAAAATTTATATAAGTCATTAATATAAACGAGAAATAAAAGTGGTCCTAAAATTGATCCTTGAAGAACACCACAGGTGATTGACTTATATTCCGTTTTTCCGTTTACTTCTCCTAATATGAAAGTTTACTTCTCCTAATATGAAAAAGTTTTGACGATATGCAAAATGGCAATGTATGTCCTTTTGTACTAGTATTAATAATGGTTTTAGGTAGGAACGTTAGACATTTATAGCAGTTGTATTACCGTTTACAGATGTTCATTAAATTTTCTCGAATTAGTTTGTATTTTATGGTTGTCTTACTAATTTTTAATAACCTTTGGTGATGAAAAAAGTTATGTAATCCGTGAAATAATTTAGGTGCTCTTCTGAGTATACTTTCAACTTATTGTTTGTTTATAAGTCAATGAGGGGTATATACAAATCCGCAGTCGACGAGGGTTATATACAGATCTACAGTCGATAAGGGTTATACATAGATCCTCAGTACTTTGGTCAAACTAGTGTTAAGAATAGTCTAGTCTCATAGAATAAAGAAAATGAATTTAATTAATAAAAGTTTCTTTTTATTAGACTTATTATTTGCATAGCTTTATTTACTTGCATGGAGGTTATTGGGAGAATAGTAAGTTATTATAAATATGTAGATCATTTTCTGAGTTAGTAGATTTGATATTAAACTTTATTTTTTTCAATTGATTGTAAAAAGTATAGACATTAGGTGTAGAAATAAAGATTTTTATATATTAAATTTGATCCCCTTACTTAGTTATCTAGGTAACTAAAATACCAACATCATTTTTAAATCTTTTATATATATTTGTATATAGCTTGTAAAAGAAAAAAAAAAATGCTCAGCCAAAACCGATATAATTTTAACGTCAAAATTATTTTTACTTTGTTTTTGATTAAAACGAAGTAAAAATAACCAAGACGTTCAAATTAATATCGAAACACTTAAAAACTGATTAAAATAAAAATTTTGTAGAAAAGATTTCAAAAAACTTCAAAAACCGCAAATGTATTTAATAATTTATAATTGTTAATTAACATTTTTTGTATTATTAATTTTATATGTTAAAACTTTTGCATTTATTTAATGTTATCAAAATTATTAAATTATTACATCTGCAAAAATATAGAGATGCAGCGGTACCTCCATCAAGAGCCGTATCTCTCTGTTAAACTTATTGGAGCGTAAGTAAAAACTTTCTTTCTAACTAAATTAATTGTCCTTACGTTTTCTGACCCTGTCTTAGACAGGAAAAAATAAGTTTCTACATTACATATGAATCTCCTTGCATCGACTTATTTTTTTATTGAAGCAGGTCGTTAAAAAATATATATACAAAGGTTTGGAAAAATATTAACATACTATAAGTCCCAATATGCAGTTTGCGTTATTGTGTTTATTTTACCCAGTTTATTTGTAACTCGCAAGAAGTAAATAAGTTATTAAGTCAACAAAATGATTTCATTTATAAAAATAAGCATTAAATCAAATGTAAAAAAAATTTTAACGGCACGCTAAATTCGAGTTTTTAAAATTAAATACAAACAAATATATCTACCCTTTACATTATCGATACAAAGCCTAAAGTCAAAAATGTAAAATTTGATTATATTTTTCTATAGCTTGTTAACAGATATTATAAATATATCTATAATATGTCATAATAAAACCATACATTTAAAGAATGGTATTTGAAAACATTGCTTTTCGCAACTTTTTACGAATAGAAATGAAGAAAAGACCGAAATAAAAGCTTTAAATAAAAATAAAGTTTTAATGTTTTCCTTTTGAGTTTAGAAAAGCGTAGAATTTCAATTTGCTGTGTTTCATACGTTTTATTATATCATTAAATAATAAATAATGTTATTATGTGTGTATATATATATATATATATATATATATATATATATATATATATATATATATATATATATATATATATATATATATATATATATATATATATATATAAGTAAACTGAAAAACTCTTTTAGATTTATAATTACACACAGACAATTTAAAATTACAGTAACATTGAAACCATTTAACATGAGCTTTCACAATATCTCAATACCGTCTGGCTGCTGTGATAAAAATTTTGGTTTACTTCAAAATAACAGTTCGTACGTAAAAGGTGTTCTTATTTTATCAGGGGTAGGAATATTAAGTCTGATCACCGTTTTTGGAAATCTTCTTATTATTTTAGCATATTATAATAACAGAAAAGTTCGAAAGCTTGCAAATATTCCAATAGTGTCGCTTGCGGTTACGGATATGTTTATTGGATTGTATCCTATGAATATTAACGTATTAGAAACAGCATTAGGGGTTTGGCCTTTAGGCCATATCATGTGTAATATATCGTTAACCTTTGACTACGTATCCGTTCAGACTTCTATTAACCATATACTGTTAATTAATTTTGATCGTTACCTATCAATTAAATTTCCAATGAAACACCGGTTACAACAAAAGACTTCAAAAGTTATTTTTAGAATATTTGCTGTATGGTTTTTTAGTTTTTTAATATGGATTCCTTATATAAACAGCTATTTATATGCATATAGAGATAAGTTTGAGCATAAAAACTGCTACAAGAATTTTTCAGGTCAAAACACGTCTAGCTTTAAAACTATCTTTCTTATCATTACCTCTGTTGTGGGCTATTTCATGCCCCTGGGTATTGTTTTGGTAATTTATTTCAAGATGTATAATATTATTAGGTTGCAGCTCAAAGAATCAACTCAAAATCGTAGTACTCCTCCATCCCAAGAAACTTCAAGAATTATGGAAGGAAGTAACGTTGCTTGCTACTCCATACGTTCACCTAATCCCATTGAAACTAGCTGTTACATAGTACCTTCAACAAACTCTATAAAACTAACTCACGAAGATCAAAAGAAACAGCTTGATTTAATAATAAAACAAAAGCGTTTAATTAGACATAAGAAGTCATTACGGATGATTGCAAGCATTATTTTAGCATTTGTCGTTACTATGTTACCTCTTAATGCTCAATGGTTTGTAAATGGGGTTTGCAAAAAGTGTTATGATGAATCGTTGTTTACAATTTTTAATTTTATGACATATCCTAATTCAACAATAAATCCATTCCTTTACGCTTTTGTAAGTCGAACTTTTCGGTTGCAGTTTAAAAGAATTTTATTTAGAAAGAAACGACTTCGAGAAGTTGAACAGCAAGCTAGACATAATTCTGATTATGTACGACCAACTGAACAAAAAATTAAAGACTTGGATGTAAGCGAGTCTTCTTAATAGAAAATTTTTTCTTAAAAATATTTTAAACAGAATAAAATTGTCAATGCTTTTGTTTTTTGTAATTGTCCATCTAAAGAAAAATGAGGTGAACCACGTAGGCTCTCAATTAATAGACATTAATTTGTATTTGATTGGTACAAACTAAACTAGAATAGCTCAGAAAATGACGATTTTGCGCAAACAAATTTTTTTTATTTTTTTATTTTTTTTATTTTATTTTTTTTTTTTTTGTTCTTTAATTTTACAACTTTGTGATTTAATAAATATTCGTTAACAATGTATATATATATATACATGATCGTTATTAAGAAATAAAAGAACGCGGGAACTCGTAGAAGACCGTAAGGTCTTGTCGTCGAGAACCGCTAAAAAATTTTCGTGTTAATATTTCGTATTAATAAAATATTCTCAAAATAAATAAACTTTCAATAGGAATATATACTTAACATACTTGAAGATAACAAATAATTAAGAATTAAGAATTGAAAACATAAACAAATTTAAAGAAAAAAAGAAAAAGAAAAACGGTTCCGTTATAAATACGTGGATGCGTTGTACGGTTTTAAGATATCTTTAGCACAATTGTTAAACTTTTTGTTAAAGGTTTTGTTATACAGTTTTAAGATACCTTTAACAAAAGTATTAAACAACTATTTACAAATTGTTAAATTATAATGCAGTGTTAAATATAAAGTTAAAAAAAGAAACAAAAAATTAAAAGAATATGGATATATCATCTAATAAAAAAAAATGACTTTTTTAAGTTTTTGTTTGAAAGAGTGATAGCTAACTTCTTGAGAAAAGTCAAAATTCTCTAAAACTATTTTATTCCAAAGTAATGCTCCTCGAAATGAAATACAGTATTTTCCAGAATTAGTTTGATAAGCTGATTGACGAATATTATTATCATTTCGTAAAATGTACTTAGTTTTTTCTTTTTTGTTATACAAATTATGAAAAGGTACAGGAGAAATATATATATATTTTTTATTTATTTTTTTTTTTTTCAATATTGATTTAGGTGCCCCAAGAAGTCCTTACGGTCTTATCACAGAGCACCGCGGAAGAGCATTTAATAGGAAGTTCACGCCTCCTTCCCAACCGATGTCGCAAAACTTGTCCAGAGGCGGGGTTTGAACCACGGATCTTACGTTTCTGAAACAAGTGCGCTACCACTGCGCCACGGCTGCTCTGAAACAAGTGCGCTACCACTGCGCCACGGCTAAAATATTGTTTTTACATTTAAACATAAAACATATAACGTTAAAAATATTAAGCTCATATATATTTAAGACTTTCATTTCAATTAATAGAGGCTTGGCATGAGTAAATCGATCCTTAAAAATAATAAGGCGTGCAACATATTTCTGTTGACGATAAAGAGATTCCAGTTTACTTTTATTAGTACTACCCCACGCAATGTTCGCATAGTTAATGTGACAATGAATGAGCGAATAATATAGTTTAAGTAATGTATGTTTATTTAAAAAACACCTTACTTTGTACAAAATTCCTATGCTTTTTGATATTTTACTACTCAATTTTTTTATGTGACTTTTCCATGACAAATTTTCATCAATATAAATACCAAGAAAGTTTGTAACTGTTACTTTTTTTAGAAGTATATTATCAATAAAAAGCAGTGGCATTTCATTTGGTATAAGATTTTTTTTGTGATTTGGATGGAAAAAAAATTTGCATGATGAAGTATTTTTACTGTGCTTTTTTAATAAAGGCCCTGATTTATTTATCTTTTTTTTTTTATTTTGTTTTATTTATTTATCCATAGGACCCAAGTTTTTTTTTTTTTTTTTTTTTTTTTTTTTTTTTTGTTTGTTAATAAAAGGCACTTTCATTTATTTTATCCACGCTATTTTGTTTTGTTTATACGTTTATACATACGATAGTTCAGTTAAAAAGAATGGACTTGCTTGAACATGGAATACACTTGGATTTTTCCTTATATGAATTATGTTGATGATTATTACTTTTTTTTAGATGGGCTTATTTTATTTATTGAAATTTAATTATACAACCCTCTCCATGCTTAATCAGTGCATGGGTATTATTGAATTTTGAGTGTAAAAAATTTTATGGAGAACTTTGGTGAGAGAAAGATCCTAAACAAACTAAATGGGTATCAATTATAGAGAATTTGCTAATCTAACCTATTTTATACTCTAGGAAAAAACTCCCCATGTGCTGATTTGTACTGTCTTATAAATAGATAGTTGTTTCTTACTATTTATACTATATATCCTATTAAGGAGGAACATTAAAATAAACATTTTTTTCTGTAATAGATATACAATTATGGAGCGACAATTTATTTATAAAATAGTATAAACTTAAAAACCTCATGAGGAACTCTTTATAAGAGTATTAAGTAGAAATGATCAGAATTTTTTCTCATGATGATACCCATTTAGTTTGTTTTGGAGTAGATAAAAGGCTCAAGAATATGTGAAAAATTTTTGAGATTGACGGACAACCACTCGGTTAGTTTCAACATCTTTTATAACTGCTTGATTAAAAAACATATAATTTACATTCAAAATGAGTTAGCGGATTAAAAAAGATCTTTTTTGTTTTTTAGAAAGATATAAGCCAAGAAAATTTGAGTATTTTTTATATGATAACGCTGTTGCTCTCTTGTTAATAAAGGACCGGAAGAATAAAATAAATATAAGTAATTTCTGAACATTTTCTGCTTTTACAATGTGGATTATTCTTTTGAGTTCTTCTCTGTTTAAGAACTATTTGTTGCCTACAGTTTAATAAATCTTTTTGTTTATTACTAAGCACCATTATATGATAATGTCGTTCATAATGTGTACAACTTATGCTACCTATCGTATGAGGCAGAGAAACTTGACTGTCTTGAAATGACAAATGACATTATAAATTTCTCTGTCTTGACTATCAAAGAAATTTATAACGTCAGAACTTTCACTGTCCCTTGCACGTTGATTTGCAGTTGTGGGAGTTGTGGTTTTATTTTTTATACCCAGAAAGTATTAATTAAATGTTTAAATAAAGTAAAAAGTAATAAGTACAAATAATTGCTAATTTAACTTTAATTCCCGAGTAACTGCAATGATTTGCGTAAAGGTGAGTTTCCACTCGTCCGTTTTTTCATGGGAACGGGATAAGAAAGGGAAAAATAATCACGTGAGCATGCGTAGTTTTTCTTCTGACATATTAAAACTTATACCACGCATGCCCACGTGATTACTTTTCCCGTCCCTTTCCCGTTCTCTTGAAAAAACGGATGAGTGGAAACTCGCCTTTATGTTGTCAAGGTATACCCAACCTAAAAGAATGATGATTAAAAAATTACGAAACATGCCGAGTAAAATATGAGAAAAATCATTTTTAATAAAGAAATAAAAAATTAAGCATTAGAATTCTTGATAAAATTAAAAAAAAGAAGGTAAAGTTAATGTTCTTGTTATAGCTTTTTTAATTATACAATTACGGTAATGGTAGGGATATTTAAACTAATTTAGGCGGACTTTAAAACGGCGCACCCCAAACTCGGTAAACAACGAAAATTTTCGTTACGAAAATTAAAAGTCGATTTTCATTGGCTAATAAATTAAATTAGACTTAAGCACGTTTTCAACTTTTCAAGTTCACTTCAGTACACGACAACTACTTCTCTGGCAGAATTTATTGAAAACATTAAAGAAAAAAGGCTAATAAATTTTCTCCATCAAAACAGATAAATCAATGTTCACAAATCTTGTATCTGTTGTCAGCAAATGACTATTCAAAGATTTGAGCGGTGTCTAGTAAGTAAATATCATATTTACTCATATCATGTTTCATGGTATTATGTCATAAATATTTTATTTAATCGTATCATAATAACTCAAATGACATTTAATACAAGTCTAATCAGATTAGTATTTAAAAAGTAAACAAGCTAAAGTTTTATTTAATTTATTATTTTTTTCTATAAGAATTAAATTACTTCATAAAATCCAATCCTAATAAATTGGATTTTGTATAATCTTTTTCTGATGCTTTTTTCTTTAAGGATAAACACATTTGGTGATGCTGCAGCTGTAAGAAGACGAAGACTATACGAAGTGGTTTTTTCGAATGTTCAACATCTTTAGGTGTAAGTGATGTACTTCAACTTATGTTATTATGGGTTTCAGAGGTCCCTGTTACTGCTGCTGCTGAATTAGTAGGGATAAGCCAACCAACTTCAGTTCAGTGGTATTAGTATTTCAAAGACATCTGCTCATTCAAAGTTTTAGATGGTGCAGCTGTAAACCAACTGGGAGGTCCAGGACTCATAGTTGAAATTGATGAATCTTTGTTTTTCAAACGCGAGTATATTGTGGGTCACAACGTTGAAAAGTATTGGATTTTATGATACAACAACTTAAAAAAGAGTCTTTGACTAGGGTAGAGGATCGAACTGCAAATACATTAGTACCTTTGATTCAAACTTGGATTGCTCCTGGTTCAACTATACAATCAGATGAATGGGCTTCGTACAATAATTTAAGCAACTTAGGCTATATTCATTCAACTGTTAACCATACAACAAAATTTTCTCGACCCTGAAATAGGGACAACAACAAACCACATTGAGTCCTTTTGGTGTAGGATGAAGCGTAAATTAAAAATTGTTTTTGGTTCTCAAGGTGATATGAAATTGTCTAGGTTGGATGAGGCAGTATATAGGGAATATTATGAGTTTAAAAATAAAGATTTATGGCAAAACTTCAATATGTTCCTGGGTCATATTCACGATAAGTATCCTCTTTAAATTACACATTTATTAATATTTTAATTCTATTTTAATTTATGATTTTATTTTATGAATTTTTGGAGCAAATTTTCTCAAATAGTCATATACTGTGTTACACTGATGATGAGAATATACACATACTGATGGTGAGAACTACCACCCATCATACCGACTAGACATTTTTGCCACCTCATTGAACTGATTCTTAAGAACAGCTCGTTTATGTTTGGCGACAGGGCATTCCGCCAGAAATTTGGCACCTCCATGGGTACCAGA